AGAGCAGCCAGTATGTTGAGCTTCTGAACCATATCTCAAACCCTGATATCTTTTTATTCATTCATTCATTCATTTATTTACTTATTTTTGTTTTTTCAAGACAGGGTTTCCCTGTGGCTTTGGAGGCTGTCCTGGAACTAGCTCTTGCAGACCAGGCTGGTCTGGAACTCACAGAGAACTCTGCCTCCTGTGTGCTGATATCTTTTCCATAGTTGTCCTTAGTGTTATTTTTGTATGAGAGGGTGCCCAGTAAAGAAAATGTTAACATGCTTGCTCTATTGGGCAGCGGAAGTGGGGGGTGTGTTATTGTGAATAAGAGAGAGAAAATATCTTAAAGCTGTCAAGGCTGAAAATGTCCAGATTGGAGAGAAAGAAATAGACTGGGCTAGGGAAGTGGAAGAATGGGTGGCAAGAATGGAGAAGGCAAGATAACAAGAGGTAGAAAATAGAGCAGAGTGAGAGAGTAAGAAGATAGCAAGAGGGAGGTCAAGGAAGGAGAGAGAGAGAGAGGATAGCAAGAGAGATAAATCACATAGACTATAAGGAGGATGCTGTGTAGGGTCAGGATGCTACTAGTATAGACTTTGACATGTGTAACAGGTTCTCATGATGTTAAGGAAACCTGGAGGCCAGCATGGGTTTTCATACACTGATTGGCTTTAAAGGTAGCCATATGTTCTTTCTGTTGGAAGTATGGGAAATGACTCCATTTGGCAGATAAGAACTGGTCTCACAAGTTCCCGAGGAATTCTGGCTTTTCTCTAACTGGCAAAAATCCTTTACAGTACAAGTTGAGCTCATTTCTGGTTATTTGAATTTCCTGAGACCTAGCAATTTTCTTTTAAGAATGAAAATTTCTCAGCACCACTGAGGTGGGAAAGTGGACACAGGATTCATTCCTAAACAAGAAGCTCTCTGCAATTGAAATCCACTGGAAAAGGGAATATCATTTTTCTTCAATGGAGTGTCACTGGATATAGCAACTATACTCCATCCAGGTCAGGCCCTAACCCCAGGCTAACACAAAACTAACTCAATGGTATTTTTGTGGATTTTTTTGTTTCATTTTGCTTTGTTTTGATTTTCATTTTTGTGGTGTTTTGTTTGTTTGTTTCTTGCTTGTTCTTTTAGTTTTGCTTCTTTTTCTTTCCTCTTTTTGAGAGAAAGAGAGAGAACGTAAAGTTGGGTGGGATGATCTGGAAGGAGTTGGGGGAGGGAAATATAATCAATGTGTATTGCATAAAAATATTTTTAGTTAAAAATAAAGTTGCAAAAAAATAAAGTTGCTTTTGAGAGATTGTAGTTTGACTTGGAGTACTCAGGGACTGTACAATTTAAGTTAGGCTTCAGCTGAGTTAGCAAGTTTTCTAGCAACCAACAAGTGGAGAATTCACTTTCTACTGTGTTCTCAAAGGAACCCAAGATATATCCACCTCCAGCAACCTCACAGATGAAGTGCGTATTAGAAGCAACAGTAGAATACCTGTTTACTCTGGCATCAGAAAGCAAAATACATCTAAAGCAATCTGTATACATAGAAATCGACAGGGCAAAGGTTTGTCATAGAGAGAGGATTAGAAGAAGCTAAATTTCAACAGCCCTTTAGGGAGCTGGGGATCAGAAGACGGGGAAGGAGTATCTAAAGTGCAGGAAAATATTATTTTCATAACTTGGGGTCTTGAGTTTGAAAGAGGATGGGATGATGCCTAGGGAAGCCTGCTTATACTCCATGGGTCTTGTTGAAATGGGGCCTGTAGGAGGGAAGGCACAGGATTACAGAGAAAGAGGAAGTTCAGGTCCTGAGTGGTGGAAGAATGTGGGATGGATAAAAGTGAGGATAACAGGGCATTCAGTGTTGGAGTCATGGTAGAGGCAGTCATGATGTAATGGAGAGAGTCTATTCAGTTGAATTTGATTTAACAAGTATTTGTCAAATACTCTGAAGTAGTCTAGATGATGAGACAGACCTTCCCTAGAAAAATAGAAAGTAAATAAAAAAGAATCCAATTATTTATCACTTTTGCATAAACTACATTGAATTATTTTTAGCAACTATACAATATTTGATTTCATTTCATAAACAAGGAAACTAAGACTTGAACAGAAAATTTTTCTAAGATCATAAACTTGATAATGAAACAAGGCCTTAAGTTTACAAAGATCTTCTCATTTCAAATCTCACCTCTCCTTCCATAGAATCACAGTTCCTGTGCTGGGTACTAAAGATCCAATGGTAAATGATGTGTCAACTTCTCACTTTGGCAGGAAGCAAATGGGTTTAAAATTGGCTTTGACATGGCAGGAGAAGCTCTGCTGATAGTAGGACCAGAGGAGCCACAGTCAGTGGAATGGGTGGGATTTTGGTAGGTGAAGATTAAGAAAGCATTTATGTGAAGAAATTGTTTAAACAGAGCCATCCAGGAAAACTGTCCAGTTAGATTAGAGTCTAGGGACAGTGCAGAAACTGGGTTGGAATGTACACTGGAGTCAGAACATCAGACTTCCACAGCATTCAGTTAGCATCGTAACTTACTGAGCATGTGCCATGGCACGTTACCATTTGAGATGTAGGAGGTACAATACAACCAAGATAAAAATCTTTGTCCTTATGGACCTTTCATTCTGTTTGGATAGATAAACAACAAATTAACAGCATCAAGAAAACCCCCATAAAATACAAAAAAGTGCTAAGAAGAAAGAAGGCAAGTGACAAATGTTGGAGGGATTCTCTCATAGATTAAAGTCAGAGAAAGTTCTCCAGTGGAGTGACAATAGGGAAGACCTGAATGAAATGATAATTCAGCCGCACAACTCTTAAGGGGAAGATTATTCTGAACTGGAGAAGTATCTGGTGTAAAGATTTCCAAGGGACAGCCAACGTGTCTACTAGAATCACAGGGGAAAGAGGCCAGTGCGATTGGAAAATGACAGGTCAGAGGAACGTGGTAAGAGATGGGGTCTGGCAAGGTCATCCTGTAGGAAGGGGTGGGAAGGACACTTGGTTTTTATTCCTGAGGACTTTTAGTAGGGAATCACATGATACAGTACACACTTTTAAAAGGAACAGGAAGCCTGTTACACCAGTTGTAATTGGTCTTAATAATAAAAGCCCAGAGTCAGATATTAAGGGGTAAAAGCTGAAAGATCAGAGAAGCAGAGCAGTCAGCCACTTGAGCTCTTCTATGAAATCCTCAGACTGTCCAGCCATCTCACTTCCTATTGTCTATGGTTAACTAGTGGCTAGTTTCACCCTCTGATCTTCAGGCAAACTTTATTTGTTAGAGCATAAACAAGATACCACCACAGAAGACTACTCATTAAGAAGGGGAGGTTGATATGATTTGAGTGCTAGGAGTAGGGATGGAAGGAATAGTAGATTTGGGCTGTCTTGTATTTCATGATATTGGAAAGGACTTCTTGATGTATTTGACTTGGGAAGAGGGAATGATTATAGAGAAGTATTTTTCTTGGTGGTTGACTGGAGTAGTACGATGACCAAGGAACACCTCCCTGAACTCTGAGTCACCAAGTGGCTTTAATGCCTTTCATCTTATTTCCCTCTCTTTAATTTAGAGACCATTTGTGAAGAAAACTCTTTTTACTATTTAAAAACCATGCCGTTTGAAAAGCAGCCAGCAGAAGAGCACACTATTTGTCTTGAGGTCCACCAAAAACCCCTCTCCCGTGATCACAGTCCTTGCTTAGATGCTTTCCCGATAGGAAAGAAAACCTGTCTCACTCACTCTCCTCTTTGTTACAGCTGTGATTTTCCTGTATTTCTGACACTGGGCCTTGTATAATAATTTTCTGTGAATCTCTGTCTTACTGCATTCTGGCCTTGAGGGAAAGGGCTGTTGCTGTGGATGATATTCTCCATGCAGTATGGACTGATAGCTTTACGTCTTCATTCCCAGCTCCTCCTGTATTTACTTAACGACTTTACAATGAGAGTGCTGGGTGTGCATTAATGTTTTTTGAGACTTAATGGCCATCTTAGTGTGGTAGCAAATAAGTGGTGAGAGTGAAAAGAAACTGACTGGTAGAGATGAGAGATGAAAATTATGTTTAGATAAGCAGAAAAGTTCATTTTGGCCATTTATTATTTGTTTCTAAAGATTTCTGTGGAAAGCACTCAGAAACTTAGAGAACAAATAGAGTTTAATTTTTTTTTTAGTCAGTGTCTCATTCTGTTTTTCCTAGTGGCCTGAAAATTACTATTAGGCTAAACTGGCCTAGAATTTGCTAAGATCTTCCTGTCTCAGCTTTCTGAGTGTTGTGATTACAAGGACAAACGGCCATGTTCAATTTCATAAAGATACTTTGGAAGATAAGAAATGAGGTCTTCTAAAATTTTTCGTTTATTTTTATATGTATGAGTATTTTTCCTGTATATACTATGCACATCACAAGGGTCAGAAAAGAGTTTCAGGTCCTTTGGAATTCAAGTTATAGATAGTTATGGGTAAACAGACATATCTTTCCTACCCACCAGTTCCCAAATAATGATTTAGAGTCTTATATTAATTACAAAGCTAGGTCGATAGCTCAGGCTTATTGCTAACTAGCTCTTACATTTAAATTAACCCATTTCTCTCAATCTATGTTTGCCACGCAGCTTGTGGCTTTGCCTGTCCTCTAGCATGACTTGTTATCCCAGCAGCTGGCTGGCATCTTCTCTCTCAGCCCTTCTTCCTGCCAGTATCCGCTTAGTCTGATTTTTTTTTTACTAACTTTATCCTGTTCAGCTATTGGCCAGTCAACTTGTTTATTAAACCAATCACAGCCACAAATCTTCACCGTGTACAAAGGGATTAGTTATTCCACCACAGTTATGGGCCAACACATGGGTATAGGAACCAAACCCCCAAACTCTACAAGAATAGCAAGTGCTTAGCTGCTGGACTATCTCTTCAATCTTAAGAAATGAAGATTTATTCATAGAAAATGTCCATAAATGAAGGCCATATTTCCATATTGAAGAAAGGAGAAAACCATCAATATCATTGCTCACCAATCATTTATTGAGGTTTTAATATAATTTCATGTTCTACACATGGTCTTTGTTGAAAAGGTTTTCAGAATTGGTAGTTTGGGTTACCAGGGATCTTCAAACAGATGAAATATATTTTCTGTCTATGTGATGGATTGGTCTGGTCAGCTCTCACGATCCATCAATAGGACCTGAGACTTCAGAGATGTTAGTATCAGAGAAGCTCTCTGTGATCTCTATCTCTCTCCTAGAGGCTTCTCAGTGTGCTTTCCAAAGTCTAGACTATGAAGCTTGTGGTTACTGATATTTTGCCCACAGCAGCCAAAGATCACCAAAGTCCAAAATCCATTTTTTCAAATGTAGTATAAGTCTTCATTGTACCTTTTCCTGTTTCTAAACTTTAGGGAGAATGTTCTGCTATTCAATGATTCAATTAAGCATCACCTAAACTGAACACAAACTAGGAATGATTCAAATCCACAAAGTGATCAAAGTAGAGATTGATTAGTTCACCCAATTTACTCCACCCAACCAAATAACTCTAGAATTGCTACTCAAGGAATGGAAATTTCAAAAAATGAGTACTAGACTAGTCTTCAAAAGCATTCTCATAGGTAGATTAAAAAAGAGAAGGATGACATACAACTTCAACCTTTTAAACAGAAGCAAAGATGAATTGACATGTAGGTTTCTTCATTACCTCTGGTGCTCATGCAGACTAGTAATGATATGTGGCTTGCTCTCGTACGTAGTCATAGAGGGGGTTGGGGGAGTTAGATGTTTTGGTAGAGTGGTTTCCATATTGTTCTCTTCTTTGGGACCTCTCACCTCCATGGGTTTGATGGAAATGTCTTCCCTCGAATTCTTGGCACTGATCATCTTCATTCTTGTGGAATCTTTCTTTGTTGGGGAAGCTTCTGGATTGGTCTTGGGATCCTTGATACCTTTTACTTTCTTCATGAGTTTGTCTATCCCATTGTTGATGTTGATTTTGATGTTTGTCTTTCCTCTCATGGTTTTGTTCATCTTCATGGGTTTGTCTACCATGTCGATGATCTTGGTGTTCTTCATGAGTTTGCCTGTGTTGTCTTTTCCGGTTCTGCTTGTCTACATGGGTGTGCATATCCCTTGTCTGATGGCTTTGTTCATCTTCATGGGTTTGTATCTCATACAGACCTTCCTGATCCTCAAGACTGTGTCTATCCCAGAATTGATGATGCCCTTCCTCTTCCCAGTGGCTCTCCTCACTACTCTGTGATTGCCAGTCATACTCGTTGTGGGAGTGTGGCTCTTCTTGCTGTATCTGAGCTAAGAGTTTGTGTTGATTATCCTCTTCAGGCTTCCATGCCTGGTGGTGGGTTTGCTGTTTCCTCCTATCCTGGAATCCCTGTCTCTGGGTTTGGGTCACTTCTTCTCTTGAAGTCTGTTGACTTAGTTTTCCTGACCTTCCAGATTGTTCAACATATGAGTGTCTTCTTGTTTCATCAGTTCCTTGGAAATACCTGTTTTGCCCTTGAAGTTCAGTTTTCCCAATCTCTGACTTCCCACAGTGGTAACTCTGGCCTTCTCGGCTTGTCTGCCCCTGCTGAGGACTCTGGTCTTGTCTGCCTGTCTGACCCTGGTGGTAACTCTGACTGTCTGTCCGATGCCAATGTGAGCTCTCATCTTGACTGCCTGACTGACCTTGCTGAGAACTCTGGCCTTGACTGCCTGTCTGACCCTGGTGATAGGTCTGACTGTCTGTCCGATGCCAATGTGAACTCTGGTCTTGACTGCCCTGATGAGAACTCTGGCCTTGTCTGCCTGTGTGACCCTGGTGATAGGTCTGGCTGTCTGTCCGATGCCAACGTGAGCTCTCATCTTGACTGCCTGTGTGACCCTGCTGAGAATTCTGGCCTTGACTGCCTGTCTGACCCTGGTGGTAACTCTGACTGTCTGTCCGATGCCAATGTGAGCTCTCATCTTGACTGCCTGACTGACCTTGCTGAGAACTCTGGCCTTGACTGCCTGTCTGACCCTGGTGATAGGTCTGGCTGTCTGTCCGATGCCAACCTGAGCTCTCATCTTGACTGCCTGTGTGGCCCTGCTGAGAACTCTGGTCTTGTCTGCCTGTCTGACCCTGGTGATAGGTCTGGCTGTCTGTTCGATGCCAATGTGAATTCTGGTCTTGACTGCCCTGCTGAGAACTCTGGCCTTGTCTGCCTGTCTGACCCTGGTGATAGGTCTGGCTGTCTGTCCGATGCCAACGTGAGCTCTCATCTTGACTGCCTGTGTGACCCTGCTGAGAACTCTGGCCTTGACTGCCTGTGTGACCCTGGTGATAGGTCTGGCTGTCTGTCCGATGCCAATGTGAATTCTGGTCTTGACTGCCCTGCTGAGAACTCTGGCCTTGACTGCCTGTGTGACCCTGGTGATAGGTCTGGCTGTCTGTCCGATGCCAACGTGAGCTCTCATCTTGACTGCCTGTGTGACCCTGCTGAGAACTCTGGCCTTGACTACCTGTGTGACCCTGGTGATAGGTCTGGCTGTCTGTCCGATGCCAACGTGAGCTCTCATCTTGACTGCCTGTCTGACCCTGCTGAGAACTCTGGCCTTGACTGCCTTTCTGACCATGGTAAGATCTCTGGCTGGCTGTCTGACTCTGGTGAGAGCTCTGACCTTTTCTTCCTATCTGACCCTGGTAAGAACTCTGGCTATCTGTCTGACTCTGGTGAGAGCTCTGACCTTTTATTCCTATCTGACCCTGGTTGCCTTTCTGACCCTGGTAAGAACTCTGGCTATCTGTCTGACCCTGGTAAGAGCTCTGACCTTTTCTTCCTATATGACCCTGGTAAGAACTCTGGCTGTCTGTCTGACTCTGGTGAGAGCTCTGACCTTTTATTCCTATCTGACCCTGGTAAGAACTCTGGCTGGCTGTCTGACCCTGGTAAGAGCTCTGACCTTTTCTTCCTGCCTGACCCTGGTGAGAACTTTGGCCTTGTCCACCTTTCTGACCAAAATGAAAATTCTGGCCTTTGTTCTTTGTCTGACCATAATGAGAACTCTGACCTTGTCCATCTGTCTGACCATATTGGAAACCCTTCTGGCCTTGCTTATCCATTTGGCCATAATGGAAACTCTGGCCTTGTCCATCTGTTTGACCATGTTGAAAACTATGCCCTTGTTTGTCTTTCTGGCCATAATGAGAATTCTGGACCTGTATGTCTGTCTGACTGTTGCTTGATTTCTGATGAAGGCTTCCATGTTGTTCATAAGAATCAGGTTGTTTTTGACTGGTTTTACTAGAATAAGAATCTTGTCGGAATCTTCCAGACTGGCTATGGCTGCTTTGTTGTCTAAATGTTTTTGACTGGCCATAAGAAACCTGAGCTGGGTCCTCAGAATGATTTAAGGCAAAGATATATCCTTGGCTTTTGGGCTTGTCATTGTTAGATTTATAACTCAGGCTTTGACCAGAGCTAGACTGTTGATCGTCTGTCTCAGACTGATCAGAGCTATAATCTGTGTCTTGTCTCTCAAAACAACCATGGTGGGAGTCCTGATGGAATCCCTCTGACTGACCATGGTTGTCCCTATTTTGTCTCTCTGACTGACTATAGTGAGAGCCTGTATCATGTCTCTCAGAGTGACCATGGGAGTCCTTATCTTGTCTCTGAGAATGACCATGTTGGACATCCTGATTCTGTCCCTCAGAGGGGCTGTGGTGAGAGCTCTGCCTATCTTTTCTGCCTGTGTTTTCTGAAAACGTGTGGCTCTGTATCCCTTTCTGACCACATTCTTTCTGGGAGGAAGTTCCAGCTCCACACACCTTACTGTCTAGCTTATGGTGACAGGCTTGGACCAGTTGGAACACCAACAAGAGGTATTCCTGAAAATCAACATATCCATTTCTGTCTCGGTCCAAGTGTTCCAGAATGATTTCCACGGTGTCTGGGTCATTTGGTCTCTGTAACAAGAAAGAAAAAGGAAATGTTCTTTTATGGATGTTGGATTGAATATATGTCTTAATGCCCCAGTCTACTCTCAAACAGGCTTCCCCCCCCTTTTTTTTTTGAGAAACCATTCATGTAAAGAGGTTTGGTTCTGGTTCTGGTCCTGGTCTTTGATCAGCTTGTTTTCTAAACCTCATACTTTGATGAACCAATTCAGGTATGACTACAGGGAACAGACAACTGTATTAACAATTAATTTGAGTCATTTGAGAAAGTCATTATCTTTTACATGGTATAGCCCACATGTTTATATACATCTTTCTTACTACACCGTGGCATTCTCAAAGGAAAAGGAGTTAGTTTTATTCATGTTTGTATCCTTAGTAACTAGGATTATGCCAGTATGGAGCAGGTACTCAATGAATCCTTAGTGAACTAATGAGTAAATACATGAGAAGGTGTATGCACCGGATTACATATAGAAAATATGAATGGCAAATTTAAAAAATTATTCCCCACTACTTTGATGTTGTTCTGTGTTTTGTTCATGTACAAATAAGGAGATGTGTGTGTGTGTGTAAAAACTAATGAGGAGCTATCTGAATTAGAAGGTGCTTACCAGTACATTTGGGAATGACCAAATAAAACATAAATATTAGTAAGATACCCTGGATGCAGGCATCAGACTTATACATTCCACTCCACAGGATCAAGAATCTGTGTATCTTACCCGAAGGATGTTTCCAAACTCAGTGAGAAGCAGCTGCTTCAACTCCTCCTTGCTCAGGAAAGTGTGCTCCCCGTGGTGTTCAGCATATTTCTGGAATACCTTACTCACATTGAGTATGCTGTTAAGAAGTTTAGGCATTCTGGCAATACAGGTGAATCTTTGAAAAAGAAGAAGAAAAGAAAGGAGATTTTGTTTATGTTTTGGATGAAGACCTAGAGTCAGCATTTCAAGAGAATGGTTTCTTGGGTTTGGGAAAGACATCATAGAGTCCCTTCTTAGTCATAATTTTTTGACTAGCCATTATGTGACCAACACTCAGGCTCCAAATTTCATATACAATCATGACAGTGATTCAAAACAGTTTTTCTTTTCTAGAAAAAGGCAAATTCTTCAAAAATTAGACACATGTAATAGATAATTTACATGCCTTACTCTCCACTCTGGGTGGGAGCTGCTTGGCTGAGACTCTCATGTAAGAACAAAAATGAAGAAAGGTTAGCCCAAAGAGGATGGGTAAGCATAGTAGTGTGTAATTTTTCTAGCAATGCCTGGGGAGAACAGGAAATGCATGCCATACAAGAGGTATTTATTTTCTAAAGTCTCCTTTAAGCGAGGAAGAAGGTAAAATATCTCTTTCAGTGGTCCAAGAAACCTTTCTGAGAAGTTAAATTCTAGAAAATACTTTTACCTGCTTATTAAATGGAACCAGTAAATGAAAACAAAAGTTACAGAGAAAACTAGCAATTGAACACAGTGCACATATGATAGGCAATACATAGTCAGGTCAACATTGGCTGTGTTGGGCAGTGGGTGTCTTCTGCAATCTGTATGCCAATATTCCTTCCTGTGTACAAAAATTCTTTTTTTTTTCTTTTTGGTTTTTCAAGACAGGGTTTTTCGTGTAACAGCCCTACTGGTCCTGGAACTTGTTCTGTAGGCCAGGCTGGCCTTGAACTCACAGAGATTTACCTGCCTCTGCCTCCCAAGTGCTGGTGTTAAAGGCATGTGCCACCACTGTCTGGCCATGGTACAAAATTCTAGTTACTGGCTTATAGGCTTCTGAAAATGAAATGGCAGCTGCAAATCACAGGCATACAGTGATGTCTGCTCATGTAAGTGACAAATAACAGATTGCATGGGACAAGCTGAGTCTTTTGTGACCATTCATTATAGTGAAATTGAGTATTGTTGAGTCCCTGTATTCCAAGGCCTTGACTAACTTGTACAAAAGGTGAACGAAAACTCCTCTATAGAAAACTCAGCTATCAATAGTCACGCAGACTCTCAGTTTTGGGACATGGAGGGCCCACATTTCGCAAATTTAGAGGTAGACCACTCTCTCATTCATCATATTCTAAGATAGAGCCCTGAAAAGAAGCAGAAAGGTGCCTAAGAGTGTCGCCCACAGGAAACTATCTCTGCCATCCACATTCTCAGATATTGCTACTGCTCCAGTATGTATGTCTTACCTGCTTGAGGACGAGTGAGCAGAAGATTCAGGAGCCAGGGAGGGTGTCAGAGATCTGAAAAACCATCCTATTTATAGGGGTTTTAATTATCCTACTAAGTCATCCCAGGAGACACCCATTCGGTGGTAGGGCCTGAATCATTCTGGGCTCAACCCAGCTCAGTCCAGTCAACCCAGCTAAACCTCTCCCTCTGCAAACCGTTTGGTTTATTTACTTCCCCCATTGCTCACAAACCTGTTTGTCATTGTAGTAGGTGACACTTTTCAAGTCTCAGCCCCATTTAATTAAGGGAGTATGTATGCTACATGGTGCGTGGATCTAGAAGACAGAGGTTCCTGATGAATTGTTAGTTTCCAAGGTTGATTGGGGTATTATACTGAATTATACCGAAGAAACATGGGTATATGTTCTATTACAAAATCCCACTCAAGTAGAGATCAGGGAGCCTATATATTTGTTCGGGATATAATTCTTGGAAAATATGTCCTAAACTTACATTTTGCTTTAAAAATAGTTATTCATATATTCTACTGACCTATTTTTAATGGTTATTCTTTTCTGCAGCCTAGTAGGAGAAGTAGTTGCATGATCAATTTTAGGGACATAATGGGTAGCAGGTGATGGAGGTGGAGCTGACACTGAATATTTTTGTTTTGTTTTGTTTTTTTCAAGACAGGTTTTTCTCTATGTAGCCCTGGCTGTCCTGGAACTCACTCTGTAGACCAGAATGGACTCAGAGATCCACCTGCCTCTGCCTCCCAAATTCTGGGTGGAATTAAAGTTGTGCGCCACCACCCCCACCCAACATGGCATTTGAGTCTTTAAGTCTTACTAAAAAGTTGGAGTTGGGGGACAACCTGGAAGCTTATAATGTCTGTGATATAGAGATATTGCTCGTGACCTGGGCCTCGACTTGTTTCCCATCTCTGTAACACCTGTGACACACTCCCACCGTGTCTTGGTCATAGGGATCCTTAATAAATCTTCAAGGATTAAATGAATTAATGAATTGTGGACACAATAGAGAATCTCGTGTGAGGAACAAAGGGTTTGAGATTCACCTGCGTTTCTGCTTTGTCTCACAAGTGCTGGCTGCATATAATTACACAACTGACTACATAACTGATCCCCCAATCAGTTATTTCTTTTTTTTTATTTTTTATTTTTTTGGTTTTTACGAGACAGGGTTTCTCTGTATTGTTTTGGAGGCTGTCAGTCCAGCCCAGCCTCGAACTCACAGAGATCCACCTGCCTCTGCCTCCCGAGTGCCCGGCCCAATCAGTTATTTCTAATGACACCTGATATTATTTGCTATGCCTTTAGGATTTTGCAAAAGAATCATAAAAGTTCAGAGAGATTTCACTAATTAGACTAAAGAGCCTTCACATAAGAAAGGTTTTGAAAGTCCAGTGTAGGACATGCTTAGTGTTCAGTAATTAGTAAAAGTAGCTGGAATCCTTCGGGGCTTGTCCTGGGGTTTCTTCAACTCCAGTTTTGTAAGCAAGATTTACATTGTTCTTTGGAAGTTAAGGGGGAGAAAGCAAAGACCAAAGTTGCATAGTTGAGAACTCGAACACAGCTTGAATTAGCATGGGTGACTATGTCTGGGAAAGTAGAGAGTAATAAAAGAGTAAAGGTAGAAAATTTGGGAGCCGAAAGAGAAATTTAGCCTTAGCATCTTAATTTATAGGAGGGGAAACTGAAGTTTCTAGGTATCCTGAGTGACCTGCTGAAGGACTCACAAGACTGACAGAAGCCAGGCCTAATGTACTTTTACCTCCCTAGCACAGTGCACTCTCCTCTCTCCTCCCGTCCTCCTCTGCTTTCCTCTCCCCTCCCCTCTCCTCCTCTTCTTTCCTCTCCCCTCCCCTCTTCTCCTCTTCCATTTCCTTCATTTCTTTATTTCTATCTCTGTTTTCTGAGGTATGATCTCACTATTTAGACCATGCTAGCCTCTAACTCATGGCAACCATCCTGTCTCAGTCAGTTACTAGGATTACATGGGTGTTACCACACCTGGATAATATGCATTTTATCTAGGGTCCAATTTAAGGGTTTATTTTAATGATAAATGTTAATTGAGTGTTTCGCTGGTTTTGTTGTCAGTATTTTTTGGGGGAAGATTTTAAGTTCATTTCTGTGTATGACTAGTCCCAGTTAATCTGGAACTGAGGAATTTCCCAAAATTAGGCACGAATGCTAAAAGTGGGAGTGCTCTGGGCAACCTAGGATACATTGATAACTGTTTGTGGTGAATGGATGGACCTAGAAGCAAGGGAGGGTCTTTGATCCTGATGGAGCAATTTAAACTATAGGATGGATGGATGAAATCTGGGAAGAAAAGATGGGGTTTTTGAACAGATTTAAGAAGTGGAGACATCAGGAATCATCCCAAGGGTTTAATCTAGGTGACTAACACCACACTATAATGAAGGAATGTAACTTCTGAATGAGGCTGGTGGAACCTAAGACCAAGGGCCTCTATCAGCATTCCCCAGGTCTCTGCCCTTTGAAGTCTCAATATTCTGCCACTACCACTGCTCTCTCCGCATTTGTCCTGATTTGCACAGTTAGTTTAAAACCCTGAGAACTTGCCAACGCTGGGATCCCTTTTGCTTTTGCATCTATGCTTAGTATTCTAGATTTATATCTCTTCTCACCTATTAGGATGGAAGATCTCAAGGCATCGGGCTAAACCTAGAGGTGAATAAGGGGAGAGAGTAAAGAAAGCAATACTGTGGGAAGTTCCTGGGATGTGTAGCAGCTGGGGTGATTTTTTTGGGGGGTGGTGAGGTGCTAATTAGGCAGTGCTCTTTGTTTGATGTTACTGCAGGATTATGCTCTTACAAATAGGATCGTTAGTGCATGAATCCACTTAACACTTAAGCTCCCTAGCATGGTCACAATCACCTAGTCAGTTATTCCTTGAATACTTGTGAGCATATGGAAGGCCATTTTGTAGGCCAGGGTTAAAACATAATCCTTGTCCTTTGTTTATGTGTGGGTATCTGTGTCTCTCTGTGTGTGCGCCTGTGTGCAAACACATATGCTTATAGGCTAGAGCTCAACATCAGCTGTCTTCCTCAGCTTGCCCCACCTTACTTTTTAAGACAAGGTCTCTCACTGAATCCGAGCTCACTTCTTTTAAAATTAATTTTTATTTAAATTACTAATTTTACATACCAATTCCTGTTCCCTCTCCCTCCCATCCTCCCATTTCCCCCACCAATCCCCTATCCCACCCCACAGCCATTCCTCAGGGAGGGTGAGGCCTCCCATTGGGGATCGTCAAAGTCGGCCACATCATTTGGGGCAGGACCTAGGCCCTCCTCCAAGTATTTAGGCTGAGAGAGAGAGAACCGTCCATAGGGAATGGGCTCCCAAAGCCCATTCGTGCAATAGGGATTAATATTGGTTCCACTACTAGAGACTCCATAGACTGCCCAAGGCCCCCAACTGACACCCATGTTCAGGGTGCCTGGTTCAGTCCTATGCTGGTTCCCCAGCTGTCAGACTGGGGTCATTGAGCTCCCACTTGCTCAGGTCAGCTGTTTCTGTGGGTTTCCCCAACATGGTCTTAACCTCTTTGCTCATCGCTCCTCTCTCTCTAAAACTGGATTCCAGTAGTTTGACTCAGTGTTTATCTGCAAATCTGTGCTTCTGCTTCCATCAGCTACTGGGTGAAGGCTCTGGATGGCATATAAGGTAGTCATCAATCTCATTATATGGGAAAGGCATTTAAGCTAACCTCTCCACTATTGCTTAGATTCTTAGTTGGGGTCATCTTTGGGGATTCCTGGAGATTTCCCTAGTGCCAGGTTTCTCATTAAACCCATAATGGCTCCTTCTATTAAGGTATCTTTTCTTGTTCTCCTAGAAGGGGAGGGGAGAAGAGAACATGAGGAATTTTTTTGGTTTTGCTATGGTTTTTGTTTGTTTCTTTTTGAGACAGGGTCTTTTTATATAGCTCTGGCTGTTCTGGAATTCACCATGTAGATCAGGCTGGCCTTGAACTCACAGAAAACCCCTAAGTGCTAGGATTAAAGTTGTGTGGCACCATACCCAATGCACTCACCATTTTTACTCACTTGCTGACCAGCACTCCCCCAGGGCTTGCCCTGCTCTGTCTCCCCAGCACTGGGGTTATAGGCACATGCTGCTGTGCTGGATTTTTGCATGGATGCTCAGGATCCAAAGTCAGACCCCCATGATTGTATGGCAGGCACTTTGTCAACTGAGCTGCCTCCTCAGCCTTCCCAGTTTTTACTCTTAAAGGCCTTTAATTTGGTGCTGGAGAGATGGCTCAGCACTTCAGAGTACTCAATACTCCTCAAGAGGACTGAGTTCAGTTCCCAGCACCCATACGGTAGCTCACAACTATCTGCAACTACTGTTCCAGGGTATCTGATGTCCTCTTTGGGCCCCTGCGTGTACCAGACATGCAGGTGGTACACAGATGTACATACAGACAAAAACACATGTACATGTAAAATAAATAAATAAATCATTTAAAAAAACAAATCTTTTAACCCCACTAGGCGGTAGGATACATAGGAAGAAGACTAGGATTGGGGAGTTAGAAATAATTAAATTTGCATGTCTATAATGTTAACACAAATTTGAAGCCAGCTAGGTTTCATAGTAAGATTCTTTTTTGTTGTTGTTTGTTTTGTTCTGGTTTCTTGTATTGTTTTGTTTTGTTCTGTTCTGGTTTTGTTTTTTGTTGTTGTTGTTGTTTGTTTGTTTGTTTTTTCCCAAGAGCATTTCTCTGTAGCTTTGGAGCCTGCCCTGGAACACACTGGAAGCATAGTAAGATTTTTATCTCAAACAAGCAAACAAAAAAAGGGAATAATACATATTATGTGTGTTTGCTCTGTACTGATGGAATTGTGGGATATTCTGTGTAATAGTGGGCAGACATACATTTGTTGGAGGTGGAGGCTTTCATTTGGAAGCAACATCCTGAGAGTCAGTGATTCTGACCTCAGGTCTAGCAGGGACTTTCATGTCCTATTTGCTTTATTCAGTTTGATGAAGGCTCACT